CGGGTGAAATAACAATAATAAGGAGAACAATGAGCAGATGAGGACCGCCGAGAAAAGAATTCTAGAATAGAGTACCTACTGCATACCACCTACATATCTACTACCTACTTTACAACACCTACTACAAACCTCAATAATACCCACCCCCGTGAAACAGATGTTTCCGAAACGTTACCCTTTTTTTCTTTGACCAAGGTAGGTAGGTACTTAGGTCGAGTATTTAGGGTAGGGTAGGTTCTGTTGCTACTCTGGCTGCAGGGGTTCCTTTAACCTACATGTATGCAGCAACAGGTTCCTGTCACGGCAAAACCTTCGAGCGCTCGGGGCGGCCCAAACTCCTGGAAACATCACCTGCATGGAGATCTAGATATCGGCTAGTGCCCCTCGGCTGGAGTTATCCATGTCCTGTTTTTTTTTTGTGAGTCCGGGGCTTTGCCCGTGGGTGCTTTTTTCTTTGGCGTTGCAGCCGTTCGGCAAATTGCTTACTGATCATCAAGCTGGGGTTGCTAGGTACGTAATGAGGGGGGCTAGGGTTAAAGAGGGAAGGTGTTCTCGAACCCTGAAGACGCGGGATAATCGTTTCCTCTTTTGGGGAGGTGGTGGGCGAGTGATGCCTGGTGAAGTACGATCTTTTTTTTTTGTTTAATTCATTAATTGCATGCAGAAGTACGATCATTGATATGCCTTTAGTGGTTTGTGAGAAGAAGGTTTCGTAAAGCCAATGAAGGCTTGGCAAGATATAAAAGAATGGTAGCAGTGCGGGTCTAGTGTTTGGCTTTAGCTGTGCTCCAAGATCCCGCCCTGAGGGACTTATTAAAGCGCACTCAGTGAGAGAAGAACGATCCAACCTCTAGATTTGTAGCTTTCTCTAATCAACGACTACCTGTATTCATCCCCGGCTTTTTTTCTTTTTTTCTTCTTTTTTTTTGGCCGCATTAATATCGTTAACGATTAGCCACTCCTGGTTCAATATAAGTAAAAAAGAGCACCCTCCAGTAAATACACCTACATGGTAGTCAATATACATCGTTAGCTTTGAGAGCAGAGTCAAATCAAAAACCAGTAAATTTATCTCTTCATATGTATCAAAAACAGCCCAGAAGATGGGGTGAATCCACTAAATAGACGCGATTTTTTATCCATGTGTCGTCTAGAGTGCACAGGAACATGTGCCTGGGAAATATATGGTAGAAACCCCACCCTACAGTGGTATGAAAGGGATCAAGGATAGATATCATCCCGCCTAGTTTTGCCTGAGGGCTTCGTCGTGAAAGACGTCATAGGCGTTGGAAAGAACTCAAATGTGTGTGGGGACGTTGAGAGTTAGCTTTGTTATTGGAAAGGATGTATCGTGGAGCGGAAAGACACCGGTGTAGCCATCATAGACCGATGGTAAAGGTATCAACGGGATACTTCCAAAGAGGACACGTGGGAGGCGTCACCTTATGTCTTTCCCCCTACGGTACTACATACCCCCGTAGTTTAATCTAAGGGCGAAGGTCTTATATACCACGGATCTTAGTATTTTAGGACTCGAATACCATCAACCTTTTTTTTTTAACGGACTCAGATACCATGTACCACTATTGATATTACTTTACATGAACGCTCTTTTAAATCTAGCTGTATATGACTGCGATTGATCTCTGCAGTTTACTTAATCATGTACTTGACGGCAAGTGGTTTTTTGTGCCCGGGTTGAACATGATTGTGCTTGTTGTTGATTAGGCTATTGTACTAATTAATTCTCCTCCATGGATCCGGTCGCTCTTGCCGCTACAACAATAGCTATAGCTTCTCTACCAGTACGATCCTATTTCCTTATTTTAAAAATGTCAAAAGTAGAGAACAGCTGCCCTTCTGTGGGAGCGCTGCCAAAGGGATTATTAACGAGACTGGTCATGGCTGTTGGTTTAGTTCACGGCACTCACAGGATATTTATTGGTCTCAAGACTACAGCATCTGTCATTTACTGCAATGGTATATTTGTCATTTCTATATGAACATTTAAAAGTGTTGAGGCCGGTGGATGGTATCCGAGTCCATTTTATCAAAACCCGTAGTATATAAGACCTTCACCCTTAATCTAAACGACGAGTTCAATTTAGTTAAACCACATATATAGCATTGGTTAAGCCACATATAGTGGTCAATCAAACCACAAATGGCATTTATTTTAGTTGAACCACTCTGGCACGGTGGCGGTTCGTAAACCATAGGGACGTTCTACATGTAGTGCTATATACATTATATAACAAGGGCCATTTCCTAATACGATTACTCTCACGGTGGAGCTCTCTAGACGCGTAATAGTTTAAATACATCCCCTGCCCACTAATACAACTAATTTTATATAGGGGTTTGTCTCTGTGGGACAAAAAACCTGATGGGAGCTTCATGCCCCCCTTTTAAGTATTGTTTTCCTGTCGTGCTTATGGTGTAGCTGACGTATGGCTCCCGTTTTACAGATATCAAGTTACACATCCAATTAGTATTAGTAAATTAAGTTCCAATAGCTAGAGTGACCGTACCCAGCTTAAACGCATAGAGCATATAGGAATACCCCAGCACAAAGCCCTCCTTTTGCTGTATATATTATAGTCAGCTGTCTCTAGTTATAAAAGCATAAACCAACTAATCTAAGTTCAGGAGCTAGTTGTTTAGTAGAGTTTGTAGAGGGTTTGTAAATCGAATATCGAGTGATATTTCATGATTATAATACCCTTTGTGTGTCGCCAACCGCCGCCTGGTTCGTTCCCGGGAGGCTAGGAATTTTTTCGTTGTCTCTTGTCTAAATTTCTTCGTTTTATCTACCTAGGTCCAGTTGATAGGTCTATATTAGTTCTTGTCGCGTCCGCGGATTTTAGTTATACTTGTTGACGCTCGCTGCTCCCATTCATATAGCTAGGGGCACTGTACCAGTATTATCAAGTCTTGAATTGGTACTCAATTCATCTCGCTTTCCAACTATACACTTATCTATCTGCCTTCATCACCGACTTGAGTTGCAGCTTATAGATCTTAGAACGTCTAAAGCTCGGCCTAGTGCGCCGGTCGGCCACACTACCAAAAGTCATACCAAACTATAAATAGCCCCATGGCCCGAATAGATGCGGGAATAACTGATCTTTACGCGCTTCAAGGATCCAAGGTCTTTATACACTCTACGGCGCTATTCCCAGCTCCCAAGAACTAGAACCAAAGCCAAAACCAGTGCATCTGTAGCAATGTATTATATTAAAGCCCCAGACCCCAAATACGAGCCAGTTTACGAGCTTTGGAGCATCCTATGAAAGAGCTAAACGATTTCCTCCAATACATCACCCGCGAGAAACTCCTATTCTACCCCACGCCGAGCTCCAAGTCGTGGCTACTCTCCATCCCCTATGATCATGACCTTACTCTCTATAGCTCTAGTAGCCCGGACACTGTAGCCGTATACATTTCCGCAAGTATACCAGTAGCTGTTATTATATTCTTTGCTGCGCGCCCGACTAACTCAGTAGGTGGGGTTAACGAGAAAGATTTAATTAGCCAGTTAGATAAAGTCCCACCCAGAGAAATCTTATCTAAATCAAACACCAATCCGTCAGGTTGGCTTTAATTAGACATGTATAGCCTTATTTTATTGTTTCAAATTCAGTAGTTCATGAATTATCACTCGGTTACAGTAATCCTAGTTGATGTGAATTCTATATGGCCTCTGAGTCGACATCTAGGTTCACATGTGTTCGTCACTGGTAAATATAACTACAGTACCAGTAATGGATGGATGTTCCTCTATGCCAAGAGTTACACGGCCGGGTGTGTAAAGGCCCCTCTGTGTATCGTATAGTTGTCACTCATGCAACAAAATCTCACATACCTTGTACCTACGAAAAATAGTTCAAAAAGACGAGACTGATGGATATTAGAAGGATAGAGGTAATATGATGAAGCATTTAGCTACATGACATGTCTAACTTCGCTATCTTGTGAAGCTACATGTAGATACGAAACATACTATCCGAGATTTTCGAACATCGGTTGCGGCAGGCCGTCAGCAACGTCTCACAAACAGAGAAATTTTAGTAGAAGTTTGCGTGGGGATTATCGATGTGTGTTGCAACATGGGGGGGGGGGGGGCGCCCGGGGTACTTAGATTACGTACACCAACAAGTGGGGTAGATAGCTCGTGGAACTTTTTCTACGCTACACACCCGCCTGTGGCTTCTGTAGAGTCTATGGTATCCTGGCACCAACGGTGCATAGATGTATTGAGTACCAAGGTCGCTGTTCCCCCCATTCTTATCAGCGCATTGTAATCGAAAACCCAGTGACTCCTTGTCTAATCTTATTCTTTCCTGATCCCGATCCCATTCCCTTGCTACTCACTCGATCCTACGAGCCATGATTTGTATGTTATGTTTCCTTGTTGACGGTGACTTCGGCACGGGTGCATGGAATCCACAGGTGACGAACATTCCTAATCGAAACTCAACCAGTCCCAATGTGACATCTAAAGTAAATAAAAAAGCAATCTTGAATTGATAGTAGTATGTGTCAGTTACCACCACAACAACTACATACGTATCTAGTAGCTCATATAGGTGGGTTTAAAAACAATGCTTGATTCTTCCTAGATTTATGCAGTTTGATACGCACCAGCACTGCCAACAGATCGCCCACACTTATATATATCCAGAAACCACCACCCTCTCGGTTCTAAAACCGGTGAAATGGCAAAAAAAAAAAGAAGAGGAGGAGGAGGAGGAGGAGGAGGAGGAAGAAAGGGGAAAAAAGGGGGAGGGGGGAGGAAAGAACTATAAAGTGGTGAAAGGGGGAGAAAGAAAAAAAGCAGAAGAAACGTACTTAAAACGTAAATATAGATAAAATACCAACGCCTGTCAGAGTATTACACAAAAAAAGCAAAGAAAAAGCTTCAACATATCACCAAGTTTAACCTTCATAAAGCTGGCCATAAGCTGAGTTATGTATGTGCGAATATTGACTAGACAGTCTCATTCATACATAAGGCTCTGACCCATCTTTTCACTGGAATCTAACAACCTATAGTGTCCCATAACAAAGGTCAGTCCCTACGCATCTGTAAAGCCGACCCAAAGATCCTAAATACGGGAAACATACGAGTATTGCTTTGTCAATACACACTCTCCACCTTTCTCCATGTCTACGTTATAAACATAAAAATATCCATCACTAGTGACGACCATAATCTGCGGACTAGTGCTGCTCAAAGCCACGACGCTTCTCACACCAGCATTTGGTAACTTCACAAACGCAAAATCTCGGCTTGGTTCCCACATCTCTGTCACAGCATGTGGCAGGTAGCCGCCCGCTGCACCGGCAATCGTGCGACCAATGTGCTGTGACGACCTTCGGATCATTGATCCAAATGTTCCTGACCCATTCCGGCGTCTTGACTCCATATAATGTTCAAAACCAGCTCCAGCAGCCCCTGCATGGTTTGAAGGAGAAGAGCCTACTGAGCCTGTTGGCGAGATACCTCCTCCAGAGTCAATGCTACGACTTGAGGATGCACCTTCAGAAATCATACCCCCAAGACGGAATATGTGTACTGTTTCTGTCGCCGATGAAACACAGAGTAGTGTAGACATAAGATTGAATGACATGGAGTAGATCCGCGATGGATATGTCCCACGCCGGAATTGAAATACTTTCTGTGCCGCAGGAACCGCGAATACTCGGATAATAGTGCCTTTATCGGAGGCAGTAGCTAATAACGTACCTTCACTATTAAGAGCTACGGCAGAGAGCGGGGATTTGTGAGCTTCGATCACGTTCACAGCTTCGAGTTTAAGGGCATCAAAAAGAAGGACATCCCCAGAGGGTGGAGGAGCTGCATTAGAATTTGTGGGAGCATGGGAAGGTGGTGCGAATGGTGTTGAAGTAGAAGTGGGGCGGGGGTAGGCGATATAGCACCTATCAGATGAGGGCGAGAGTGCACAGATGGCTAATAAGGAGCACAACGTATTAATAACAAAGCTTCCCCCAAAAAAAACAGGATACTAGTCCTACCATTGGGATTAGACGAAGTCTCTATGGTGTGTAGAAGCTTCATATTACTGATGTCATAGACATAAATCTGCTCTTCAAGAACCACAATCAAACGCTTCCGGTTCAGTTTGACGGCCAATATGGAAGTCGGGAACGTCAGTTCGCAGATTGTCGATTGCCTCTGGGAGCGTGTCAGATATGCATTGGTAGAAACTGGGAGTTGTGAAGAGAAACCCCAGAACCAACCTTGGTATTGGTGATGACCAGCCGGCGAGGCGACAAGATAAGAGCTACCAAAGAGGTTGCGAAAAGCATCTCTATAATAGAGATGTCACCTTCCTTTTGCTCATAGACTTTACCAAACGGCTCACAGTTGTATATCCGGTATCCGGTTCGAGTACCAACAGCAAGACATGAGAAGTCTTGGTTGAAAGTGACGAAGTTCATGGTATTAGGAAGCGAAGAAGCCAGTGCTATTACAGTGTAGTGATAGTAGTCCAAATATGTGGATCCACAGGAGAATAAGACTCTTTAGAAGATTGATAATAGCTGGGATGTGGTTTATTTGAACTGTTGATGATGTCGATCGGTGACGGTAGTGAGGGATGGTGGTAGGAAGTTGGAGGTGATGATGATGGGTGTCTCGCATGGAGGGGAGGCTGACAGTGTATTCTATGTAGATCTAACTCGAAGAGGAAAGGCGTCCGGGCAATGATCTGCACACGCCCGACTCCTCGTTACCATCCAGACGTTGGTCTTATTGACTTCGTCTATTTGAAAACCACGATACCTGCTGGGTTCGGATTTGTTCTATTAAACACAAATCACTCGAATCTACACAGTTTCCATTCGAAATACAAATTACAAAACACCTAGAGCCTATAACTACATGTAGCGGAATGCAGACTAGGCGCCCTAGCTGGAGATGCATGTAGTACATACATGTAGGTACATGTATAATAGAGGGACTGCTACGGTAGTAGCTCAGTAATCCAGTAGGGACTCTTCAATTTTAGCTGGGTTTTGTACATGGCGAAATTGTAATGCGAATTCACACAATCGTCCTGTGGCGTGTGAAGATGGCCTGGTTACTGAAATCATTCAAGGTTAAGAAGAGCACAGTATGTAGATATATACATAAGTTCAACATGTATCTAGCAAAGAATTACATGTATTCCTGTAAGTATGCACATGAAGTACTTAGTAGTCGATACCCTACATATCTCGGCCCATGGAGTCTAGATTTCGGCCTACAATGTATCTTCGAGAAAGCATGGCTACATGCAGTAATCCCTTTTACTACACTTGGCGCGGTTTTGTATGATATGCAATAATAGTCTGTTTTTAAAACGTTAAGTCTTTACGACAGTAATTGCGAGTAGAGTGCATACGTGTCTCTTGTCACTTAGCGTACCGGTACCTACATGTAGAGTACTCTAAAGAACGCCTACGAACGATCTTCTGGGGCGCTTTCGTCTCCAGATACATGTACATGTATGTACGACCCGGTAACTTCCATTGCCTTTACCTTCACAGCAGCCACTAGAAAGCCGTTGACACTTCAGGTTTCATCTGCCGGGAGTTAAGGCCTTGTGATCTGAGCCGGAAAGTTAGATGTTGCTCGGCTCGGGTACGTCTATGCAGTTAGGACGGGAACTACAGAGTTTTGTGGTATATGCACAATTTTTAGAGATTTTTGGGCATAAGGTACAGACTTAGTAGTGTATATCCGAGGATAGAGAGCGTGGGTAGAGTTGATGGGCTCTACTTCTACTCTACGTATAGGTACATATGTATTTTACCATACTGCTTACCTCTTGACAGAAGGCCCATGCCGAGAAGACGAGACGATTAGCTGTGGTTGTTGTAGACATGCATGGGGCGGGTACTCGAGGTCAGCGATGGCCATGGAGGTGAAGATAAGGATCGAAGCATCTGGCATCTGGGCCCTGAATAAGTGTGCAAGGAGGCTGAACGGTGAGGCTAGCCACCCCAGGGAAAGTCCCGGCAGCCGCCCATGCATGGGACCCCTCAGCGAAAGCCACCACCCGCACAAGAACTTAAACACAGACCAAAAGTCACGATACCGTTGAAAATGTCGATTTATAACCACCACAAGCTCCTCTACACCACGAACCTTTCACATCCCCATCAGTAGTCGACATGGAACCTCCTACGAAGAAGAAAGATGGCCCAAAATCAGAGAAGGAGAAGAGAGACGGCGCAATTATGGGTGTATGAATATTTTTTCCCTTCATTTCCAGTTTATAATTTCCCCACTTCACCCCCTGGAGCCAGAATCAACCTCTGCTTTCGTACCACAGTGATTTCTGTTGCTGAACACCATGAGATAGACAAATAACAGTTCCATCGTCAGCAAAAGAAGTGTCGAGAGACTTTACTCAAAGCCGGATGAACACCAATTTCTGCGTTATTTTGTCAAAAAGCCGCAGAGGAGATCCCCTCTAATAAATAGGGGTTACTGGCTACGTATGCGTGCTGTAGAATATGTGGTGCATTCTTTCCTTTCCGAGGAACCTTTTGACCGCAGGACAAAGAAGGTCGTTATAAATCTAGGATGCGGATAGTAAGTTTTTATTTCCCCCATTTTATCAGTATTGAACTGCCTCGTCGCCCAATACATTAACCTTCTTTACAACTGGCAGTGACCCGTTACCTTTCCAGTGTATTTCAGAAGCAAAGAATGTCTGTGGCGATATCCTATACATCGATATCGACTACCCAGACTTGATTGGAAAGAAAGTGCAAACACTTTGCGAAACCCCGCAGCTAGTAGCCCTCCTTACAGAACCCAAGGTCCATGACCCACCAGTGAACCATGTGCACTATTCCAGCTCAGAATATCTCGCCATTGGCTGTGACCTCCGAGATTTGAAGACACTTCAAGCCATCTTTGACGGTCAGGGAATCACTAAGAGTGCACTTTTCTTCACTGCGGAGGTTTCTTTAGCCTATATGGACAGAGAATCCGTGGATGCACTCGTAGCTTGGATTGCTACCCTTCCAGATGGTAACTCTACTTCCCCTGAATTTATGCGTGTGGAGTCTCGTAGATTTGTGGTTACTTATATCATTTACAGCACGCTTCTCCATACTGGAGCAATTTCTTCCCTCTGGAGATACCCACCCATTTGCACGCACTATGCAGAGGCATTTCAACTCTCTACCCACGCCTCTCAAATCGATTCTTTCATATCCAACCCTTGCCAACCAAGTAGCTAGATATTCAGATCGTGGATGGGGTTCAGTCGATGCAGTCGACCTCCTTGCATTCTGGAGCAGCATGGTCACGGAGGAGGAAAGAAAGTACCTAGAATCTATAGAACTATTCGACGAGTGGGAAGAGTTTTTCCTATTTTGCCAGCATTACTTCATTCTCTACGCCTGGACAGGGGAGAACCCATACGGCCCACTTAGAAAAGAAGGAATGAGATGGATAGGGGGGGAATATTGCTATTTCCCTGACCATAGGCCCCAATACATGCGCTCCCAAAGCTCGGAAGAATCGCGGGTTGAGGAAGGGCTTGATGCGGAATATACTGGGTCTCCGTTATTGAAACGGTGGTTTGGTGCGGCTGCAGAGTGGGGAGGGGGCAAGCTGGTTTACCATGGAGGACTTGGGACAAAAACCAGGATGGGATCTTCTTTGCTTATTGCGGAGGAGCATGAGAAGAACCATAAATGCTCAATCAGCGCAAGCCCAGGACCCGGCGCACGCATGTGTCATACGTTGACCCAGGTTTCTCCCGGAAAGCTATTGCTGGTCGGAGGGAGGACATCACCAGGTCAATCACTAAGCGACGTATGGTTACTTGAGGCAGGGTCTTGGAAAAAAGTACAGAGCCTACCAAGTGGAAGATTCAGACACTCTGCCACTGCAATTGGTAATGGTAAAGTCCTTATCTGTGGCGGTAAGCGGGACAACGAAATTATAGACGAGTGGTTGATATGGAGCGAGTGCGATGGATGGAAGAGGGCCAAAGTCGAGGCAGACAGAAAGCCTTCTCCCAGATTTGGGGCTGTGCTATGCTGGACCGACAAATCATATGGCATATTGAGCGGAGGAATGGATTCCAAAGGACAGGTTCTGGGTGACATGTGGAGACTGGAGATTACCAAAGGCAGTGATACATATACGCTTGTGGTATCGTGGAGCTTCGTCAACCTACTTTCGACAAGGAGCTTGCTGAGGCGGTTTGGGGCACGTGCTGTGTACTTGGGTGCTGGGAGGGTTCTGGTTATCGGAGGTGTGTCGGGAGGTGCACTAATAAAAAGCGAGGATGAGATGGTCGAGATTCACTGTGAGAAGGTTACAGTTAGGGCCATTGACGTTGAATACACCCATGAAGATGGCAGGCTACCGCTGTTGATCGGCCATGATGTTGTGCTTGCTGGTAAAGACAAGGTTTGCGTCATCGGTGGTGGAGGTGTCTGCTTCAGTTTTGGTGGGTGCTTCAATGAGGGAATGTGGACTCTACACGCATTCAAAGACGGGGAAGTAGAAAGCGATTGGAAGATCCTAGAAGAAGGTGAACTACTAGAAAAGAAGAAACGGAGACAAACCTTTCCCTTTGAGGAGAGGAGTGTCATAACACCTAGGCCCAAGACCTCGCAGGCGATGGACATAAAAAGAATGAAAGTTAAAACAGCTGAAGATTTTGAGAGGATTAGAGAAGCGGGAGAGCCCGTGATTATGGAAGGATTGAACATTGGAGAATGTGTCAAGAATTGGTGCCCTGCGTATCTTAAGGAGAAACTTGGAAACGAACGCGAGGTTAGTGAAGGTTCTAATTCTCTTAAGAATTCTACTCACAGATACTAGGTCATCGTGCACTCCGCTCAATCCCAATTCATGTCTTTCCAATCCAAAAACTTCAGTTACAAAACCATGCCATTTGAAGAATTCATAGACATTGCTTTCGACCCCAATGCCCATGAATATCTCTACCTTCGGTCCCTCTCTGCCACCAACCCAACATCGGAACCCGCAAACATATCCAAAGACTTCCCGGAGATAGCTGCCGACTTCTCAATACCTTCAGAGCTTGGTTTCGTCAAAGCCAATGAACACAGCTCACCGTTCCGTATCTCAAGCAAGGAAGTGGGTATGTGGCTTCACTTCGATGTCATGGCCAACGTTCTCTGTCACATTCGAGGGACGAAGAGATTTCGTGTCTATCCGCCTACAGATGTAACGCGTCTCTCCTTTCCCCCAGGGGCATCTTCCTCCACTATCAACCCTTTCACCGAGGGTGATATAGATGATACCTACCCTCAGGAAGCAGTGCTACAACCTGGTGACGTGCTATACCTCCCAGAGTTATGGCCCCATGCAGCACTACCGCTGGAGCCATGCATAGCTATCAATGTGTTCTTTAGGGGCTTGAAGAGTGGGTATGGCATTGGGAAAGATGTGTATGGGAACAGAGACTTAGCGGCATATGAAAAGGGCAGAGGGTTAGTCGGAAGGATTGCAAGGGAATTTGAGGGGCTTCCCGAGACGGCCAGAAGGTTCTATATGGAAAGGCTGGTTGAGGAGTTGGCTGATGTTGCGAGGGATTAGCTTGTTTTGTTTTTGTTTCTGTTATAGTTTCCTAGGGGGTGAATTGGAGTCTTTAATTGCGCGGGAAACTCTCAAAGGGTCAGGATGTCTACATAATGGGGTATTGGTGGTCCCTTTATCATTGGCATTTTGTCTTGGATCAAACTGAACATACTTATGGCCTGTGAGGCTTCACAGCAAATAGAATTAGGTTATGCATAGTCTCGTGCCCATCCCAACGAGCCTAGGATGAACGATATTAAAGGTAAAGGTGGATTCCCATAATGCAGAGCTGTAGTTTGAGACTCTATTACTCCAGCCATGGACGTGTAAACTCATGTAGTCAGCGACGCAAGGAAGCTCGGGGTGAACATTCACATTGAAATACTCATTCTTGAACCTGAGACAGAGAAGACGCGTGCCCACCAATTATACATGCCCGAAACCACAAAGTGTGGATCGGTACCAGAAAGCTTGCTATGCATGAGTGGGTGCCTAAATCCGCAGGCCTTTTTCTTTTTTTCGGTCACGATCAAATGTTTCAAGATTTCAATTTTTGTGTTATTAAGCAGGAAAACACTAACAAGAAAATTACACAACGCCATCCATGGCGAACATGGCCAAAGAAGAAATCCCAATTAAAATACAGACGCCAGCGTACGCACCGGTGTTCCCACGCAGAAAACAAGGTTGATATCAATCAACTCATCTATAAAAATATGCATAGGCGGCTCAAAAGCCAAACCTATCACTCCCATTCTTTAAGGTGCAACGCGACTACTGTTCCCCAGGTCGCTTCGAATTACAAGAGACGATCTTGACTTTTTCTGCCGTAACGCTGGGGTTTGTCCCTTGCTGCTGAAATTTGAATGTGACATCCTTTATCAAAAAGGTCCAAACTTCGTCACAGAAGCGGTACGTGTCCAAGTGGCCCTGGGTTCGCAGACACTATTTAGCTCCCTTGTCTCCGCACTTTCGAGGGCCATAAACAAACCTTAAATGTCAAATTTGCCTTGACTTTATCAGCCAAAACCTCAGTAATGGTGCGATCAAAGTTAGATAAGATCTTCATAGCAAGCTGGGGCGCGATGCGACCCTCACTAATGAGGTCGTCCAGAGCATCGGTGAGTGACATGCCGATGCTACCCGAATAGTGTTAGTAAAGCCCTCATGAAGTGACATCCCGGGCCGGGGACTGAAAGACTATCAACCTGGAACGTCGGTAGAGCTCATAATATGTTTGGTTGTTCATGGCGGCTCAGTTGTTTGGGGTGAAGATGTTGTATTTATGCACAAACGAGGGGCTTAAGAAGGAAGGAAAGAAGTCAGCGAGCTGGGACAGCTGTGCCAAGCAAATCCGCGCCAAGCATTCATAGCTCTCCTCTGTGTCATGTCAGTCATCAGTACCTACATGTAATCAAAAATGCGGTTTTTAATTACTACGTAATTCACTATTACTCCAGATCTGACTGAGCTCCTTAGACAATATGATAGTAGTCTCCTGGAAACCAATTCGCACAAGTACATGTAGGTATTGGGATCCCTCACTCCACTCATTTACTAGAGAAGAGAACCTTACGTAGGTACAGCCGAGTGATTCTCTATGAGCTTGTTAGGTACCTGCCTTGGCTCGAAGGGCCCCGCATACCCTAAATGAAATGCATCGTTAAATCAATTTATTTACCCTGTTTATCAGTTTATTAAACGGACAAGACCATAATTAGGATCCTTAGTCTTAAGATCGTCACACATTTTTTGCCCCGCCAAGAATAATACGCGATGACGGTATAGCACACGCATACGAAGCATGTAGGCGCCAGGAACGGCGCCGGCTTCAATACCTACTTAATACCAACATATTGTACCCTTCCTTCCCTTCTCTTAGTCGCAGTACTTTATTTTGTGAGATGGGGGGCGCACATTACTCAGAAGAATTCCCACTATTGGCCGGGGTCGGCCTATATGCCTCTGATATATCTGGCGACGGAAACTGTTTATTCCACGCGCTCAGCGACCAGGTTCGTACACACCCCTCTGGGGTCAATTGATCAATATATATAGACCTATCACTTTGAGACGTCATATTCTAACTTTTTCCATAGATATACGGTCATGAGAGTAACCATGTAGAGATCCGCGAGAGGGTGGTGGAACGCAAGTGAGCCCCAGTTCAACTTTCTTGAACTAACGTAATAATTCGGTTTCCATTACTCTAGATATGAGGACACATGCAGAATACTTCAAATTATTCCTTGATGTCGATACAGCCCGCAGAGCACCCAAAAGAAAGGCCCATACCGCAGGGTCCACCGTTGGGCCCACCGAGGATGCCATAGACAAGGCTTTCGCCCAACATCTCAAAACCATGTCTCAGCCAGGTGTCTACGGGGACAATATGGAGATTAGTGCTTTCGCACGAGAGTACAACTGCGATGTCAAAATCTACCAACGAGAGTTTGCATACGTCGTATCGGGCGGCGGCGACGGGTCCAAGAAAACGGCGCACATAGCGTATCATGTAAGCTTTTGTCCCCATATACTTAAACTTTTACAAAAAAAGATTCATCTTCCGTTGCCATTTTGATTACTAGACATGGGAACATTACTCGTCGATTCGAAACCGTGACGGCCCTCGCACGGGCCCTCCAAATGTCACTCCAGTGCCTTTAACTGAAGAGGGTAGAAGAGAACAGGAACGGAAGCTTGGAGAAACGTCGTATGTGCTCCCGTGGATGGAAGGGGTGGTTGCTTCGAGTCTACCGTATATTGTCGACCCAGGAAAGATACGTCATGTGTTAGAGAAATGCAAGGGGAATGTCGACGAAGCGGTTTCCCAGTTGTTGGATGAGAACGAAGCAGAGAAGCCTAAATCAACGTTTAGAAGGGAGGATGTCTCAAGGCCAATTTCTCCAAAGTCTACGGAGGAAGATATAGAGGATGGGATAGTAGTGTTGGGAGAAAAAGAAGCTGTGGAAAATGTCGAGGGGCTCAAGGACGAACCGGGCGTAAAAAGGTTAACAAAGAAGGAGGCTATCCGCCCAAAAAGATCTCCTATTCGTTTAAACGGCGATGAGGAGAAGAAGACGCTCAAAAATGATATTCCAAATGACCCGATCTCAGCAAACGAACCACAAACGCAACCCCCCACCCAAAAGCCAAGGCGCGATACCAAACGTGAAAAGAAGCTAAAACAGAAAGAAGCCAAGAAGCTTAGGGATAGGGAGAGGGCTGCTAATAAAAATAAAGAAACCGAGGGGGCTACAACCACTATTACTGTTGGAATCAAGGAGCTGCATGTTTGATTTAAGGGCATGCAGACAATGAGGTAGCCTATGATATAATAAATACCAATAAACACTTTAACGCAAACTTTTGTTTGATGGAATCTCGTTCATTGATGAAATTATTTAACGAATTCTCAAAACAAAAAGCACTTCAAACGAGGCCTCTTGAAAGCCCCTCATCCCTAATGCTCCGCGAAGAAGCAACCAGCCCCACACCTTCTTTTAAGCCCTGTGTTTTTCGATAGCGGACTATATTTGTAAAAACAAATTAGACTTTATTGCGTGTGTAAGTAGTATTCTGGGATGTTTATCACCTTAATTGCAGATGGGTTGGCACCGACAACTTCTGCAACCTTCTCGCCCTTCATGAAAAGGAAGAAAGTAGGCATAGCACGAACGCCGAGCTCCGACGCGACCGACGGTACTTGATCGACGTCAACTTTACAGAAATCTACCTCGGGGTAGTCCTGAGAGAAGGCGACGATTTTCGGGGCAATCATCCTGCAAGGGCCTGGACCAAAGGATATATCAGCATACTACAGAAAATAGTAGAACATTGACGGTGGGAGTGAGTACTCACCGCACCATGTGGCATAACAGTCAAGAACGACGAGTTTGTCACAATCGATGGCACTCTTGAATTCTTCGTGACTTCATCCATCCATCGGAGTCAGCATACCGAAGTGGACATCAAACTAGGGTAAAGTAGGAGCATCTCCCATGTGGGGAAGCTGTTTGAAGAGATTTAGGAACTTACGAGCTGAGTTCTTTGACCATTTTGACAGATGATGACTGAAAGAATCGTTGGGATTGAAGTGGGGCTGTGGTTGTGATGGATAGACGGGAGAGCGGGGTTGAAGGGGAAACCAGGGGCCTTGATATTCTGGTGGAGGAAGGTAAGAGATGAAGCAACTTTTGTTGATTTGCTAGTACCACTTTAATGGGGTGGTGAGTAGGACCACGAAGAAGAGAACGGTGGCTATTTATTTAACACGAGGGTCTGTCAGTAAAGGCGTGCGCCGAAACGTGGTTTGTTCCTTCTACACAAGGATGGGTTTTGACTCGGAATCCTTGGCTTGGTTTTACTTTACGAGAGGCTATGTGTACTTACAAGTGCATTGAGGGATGGGCAGAGATAGATAGAAGGAGCAGGTAAATTCCGCAATAGATGGCTGCCCTGAGAATTAGAAATCACCAAGAACACTGATTAACAATTTGAGGTTCAAAGGCGGAAAGATTTTAAAAGAATTAACTGCATGTATGTACCTACTCGTAGCTTCATAGCGTTTCCGAACACGACCAATATTGCATGACATACAAAAAGGTAGATTTGGCGCTTTTTTGTATGGTATGCAAGAGCAGTCGTGTTCGGAAACGTCATGAATCTACGAGTATGTGACCACGATGTCTCGGACTCAGCCCGTAACTAGAATTGTACACTTTGCAAGTCACACTGCGGTTTGCTACACCTAAGGCTGGGCTCCGATAATATGTCAGCGATGACGCCATCAGCCTCGGCGACCAAGCGATACCGCCAAGCCTCTTACCAGATCTCTGCAGCTGCACAGGTAGATGCCTGGGACCAACTCAATTAAGCGCCGATTATGCTGCTTTTTGAGGCAAAACGCCATGTTTTCAGCTTACTGCGTGTTAATGATGGGTGCATTGCTTGAGCTGCTTATCGGTTTCCTTCAAAACGGCACATGCATGCAGACAGCTTCCCTACTACGAATATTCACATCAATGAGTCCTAGAGTAGACTAACATAGGAACATAAGCGACGGCCCTGGTTAAGGATGTAAATGGGGACCAATACAGACGTGGATCGGAGCTTTCACTATCCCCATGGTCTCTTTATTGATAATGTACTCGTAATTTCATAGCGTTTCCGAACATGACCAATATTGGATAACAAAAAGGTGGATTTGGCGCTTTTTTGTATGGTATGCAATAGCAGTCGTGTCATGAATTTACGAGTAGGTAGTCGTTCTACCCAGATGGCGAGTCTCACAGGCATCACCTGCACATGCTGTGTTATGATGCCTTTCGCTGTATGCACCGCAAAACCATACCATTTTAAAACCGGACCGAACGCGCGTTGAGCCTCAATCGCACCGTCCCAGTGCGTAATCCTCAATTGCCTTGACCGGTACAGAGGTTACAGCTTTCCAGTCGACTCAGTTCGGCCCGGGAGCCTTTGTATTTACAAAGACTCGAGCTTCAAATTCCGATTGTCTAATTACCGCACGGGACTGGAAAATCGAGTCGGATTTTCCTGCGCAAAGGTTCCCAGGCTGAAATCTTTTGATATACTCAATCTAATTCTATTTCCTTATTTTCGTGCGTGCGCGCTACTCTGCGAGAGTAACAGATATATGTGTGAGGCGCACAAGTCACGTGTCTGATTTGTTCCCAGATTCAGCGGTTCCTACATACAAACCCATACTGTGCTGAAATCTGTTGTGAGATACATGCATGCACATCTGAGCGAGTGATATCTGATGATTGATCTCATTTTATTGATACCTACCAAGTATAATCCAAGATAGAGGAGTGTAAAATACATGTAAGTACATGCTGTATCTACCAACCGCGAGATCTACAACTACATATACCGTAGGATCTCGAGTTATTCGGGGGGTTGCCAAGGCAAAAAGCTGAGGATCTTCACCTTTAGAGGCAACGATCCTCAAGAAAACAGCGCTCTTCTGCAGGATCTAAACTAAATGTGGTTTAGCAGGTGGCCTTGGCAACCCCCAGAGATTTTACGGTATGTACTCTAGGTACAGTACCCTTTTGATCATGAGTTCTCGGCATACCCGGCCCACATACTAGCGATGCCAGAAACATTATTGATCATGTGACCCTCGTATTGGTGTGAAGCTTTGGATTTGTGAAGGCAACCAATCACATGATCAATAATGTTTCCGGCACCGCTAGTACATGTAAGTATATGTACACAGGCCTACTCTACATAGAGTACAACCCCAACGCATTCCATATATGCTCTACACCTGTTGGTTATCTTCGAGATAGCTAGGGGTAGAATCCATACATATAGACCAGCTTGCCTATCAGTGAGTGTTGCCCGCTATTTTGCCCGCTACCCCCAGGATGCAACGGTTGCCACCCACCAAAGTTTGGTGGACGCTCGCTGATGGGCAAGCTGGTCTACTCGTGCGTCTTCGCCAAGGATTTTAACGTGACTGAGAGATCAAGGCATTTGACCAATTGGAATACCAAAATCCCTTTCTTCACCGAGTCAGGTGAAAATTCTTGGCGAAGACGCGCGAGTATACTGAGACGTGCAACTTGAATGTGTCTGTTGGAGCTGCACCTAGAGTTTCTGGAGAGGGGAAACCCCGCATTTGATGGTGTCTAGATTCATCTAGCCATCCGTGAGGTTCCAATGAACTGAGTAGAGTTATCTACCGCCAAAACTCGAAAAATTGGCTATCTCCGGCCAGGGATTATCACTCGAGTGATTGGTTGAATGGCATTGATCTGCATCGGAAGTTTCCCATACAAGTAATTTTGATCTCTGGAAGCTAGCCAATTTTTCGAGTTATGGCGGTATGTGGTTCGATTTGAGCTACGCCTCAATGTTCTGTGCCTATGCATGTCAATGTCGATCATACATGGAGAAGCGCAAATACTCGCTTGGACCTTCCCCGCCTGCCGAGACAGCAGCACAACCACATGTCCATCTGGAAACCATCCTAATCCGTGGTTAAAAATCTGGCAGTAAATATCTCAAGAGATGGTGGAGATAGCTTTGGCAACAGAAATCCCCAGACAAATTTGTATGGGATTGACACTCTTCTAGGTCTGACACGGTACCCGGTCTAAAACGTTACTCTACATCTTCCACTCTCTGTTCAAAAATCGTATCAGAAGGTCATGCCTACTAGTAATAGGTTCTTAGTCTTGGTCACATTGTATCACTCGAAAGCCCCAATCATACATTAAGCAGGGTCGATCGCCCGTCTCGCACTGGAGCTCGAGGCTGGGGTTGTTACATCTGAACAATAATCCATCCTAGCTACCGACATATAATTCAAGAGCCCTCTACTTATATTATATTTACAGGCATATAAAGGTAAATATTGGTAGCACAATTAAAGCGCCATTCACATCACGCTTTGTTCCTTAGATAGTTGGTCGTCGTAAATACATAGTAAAGTTAATTCTCTCTGGGGCCCGGGGATATAAATCGCCCCGCCCATGACCACGACGTACTAGGGTGTAGCGAAAAGTGATCAGAATCTGATAAGACAAATACACCTATTCACCATAACATTCACTTATCAGATTCTGATCACTTACCCTCAACACCCGGTACATGGCTACAACCGGTACGTGGTAGTAAATTGATTCAGGCGCGCGGGGAACCGGACTATCATATTCTCATGTACCTTGGTATATATTTTTGACTAACTTTTCTATTAGACTACCTTGAACTACAATAATATTGTCGGGTTACGCACCAACGACAACCACCAACCATCAAAGTAGGTATATTTCGACAGTCACAATAGATATGAGAAAGATGATTCTATATCTATGAATCTAGAGAGTTAGAGAACTATATATAGTACTCTTGTCCATGGCCGGAATGAAATGGATTGAGAATCGTGTCTGGTTGCTATGCAGGGTGCGTAGTTATTTTTTGTAACCTGGCAATATATATGTAGAGCACAGTACTACGAAGAAAAAAACAGGGTAAAAATCACTATATGTATATGTAAGTACATGTATTATTGCAAAATTTAGTGAATGATACGGATTTAAACCGGCATTATAAACAGAATACCGCACAAATACCTTTCATTGCTTCATTACTAGCACATTGACGGTAAGTAGTACGTAGTATTAAGACATCAGGTATAATTGCGCGGTATGCACGTTTTAGTTTTAGGCCGCGTTAATTGGGGACGGCCGTTACAATTGAAACCCGAAAACGCCGCTTTGAGAAAAGTTGAAATGTTTGGTATGCGACTTTTCAGTACGTATACTAGTTGTAGCTAGTTTTACTAAACTTGTAGTTTAAAGATTTTCAGTACTCTGCAGGTTACTAACGGGCCGGGATTGTTGCTTAACTCAATTTGTAAGGTACATACATGCACATATATGTACTACTTCTCGATCCAATTGCAAATGGACTCTGATTAATTGTAATATCTTCACCAGCTCATGATCATCCGTCGAATTAAGGTGGAATGTAAGGATATGTAGTATTAATATATTAGGACACTTTATCCTTAAGTATGAGATCTCGAGAGGACACTCGGCATTGTATAAGTAACATATGGAAACCAGATTAACTGGTATATCCTTCTCAGAGACGGGACTCTTTCCGTCTCATCAGTCAAGCTTAAGTCATTATCAACTATACGTGGCTTTCACGGAACATTAAGTGGTAGTATCTAACACGAGTAAGAACATGTACAGCCACTCAGCAAAAGTGTTCGTGATATAGTTTTAATGTCAGTGCGCAGTGTGGCGCACCCGTAATACTGATGTTATTAAAGTTGAGATTCAAAATAACGAAAAATATATAATATAGTTTGTGAATATATATAAAAAGATAGGCCATTGATCTTATTCTTCATTAATTTGGGCGCCATTGGTCACTGGGAAAGTCTTCTCTTTGGGGGTTCTTGATGGTCCGCCGCGGTTACATATGGAGAAATGTCTCACTCCGAAATCGGAATCACGAACACTTTTGCAGAGTGGCTGTACATATCAGTAGCGTACTTATATATACATGTAAGAGTATTTTATCTATCAGATACTCTCTTTAATCGGCCGTGCGAGTTTTGATTGTGGAAAATCTATTGCAGTTTTTTAGAGTTAGGGATATCGATTCAACTAAAGGGATTGTACATGTCCGACTTATGGCCAGGTATAAATACATGTACTTAATTACATGTACATACACCGAGTCCTAGAAAATTATGGCATGGACTACATGTAATATATCACCATATACAGGACATATTCTGTCTGGATGAAGCTTAATTATGCTTTTGGGTTTAGACCAATCAACGCCTCCCCGTCATTTTAGTTCAAGTATGTAGATTTATGTCAACGCTAATTGTATACATATATATATCAAA